CCTAACTTTTCCTATATGGCTGTGTCCATCAGGCTGAACTGACCTAAGTACACTAACACCAACTTCAAGTAAGTAATCTAATAGGACTATGGTAATGTTGGAATGATGTTGTAGTCATGATGGGTCAGGAAATATGCAAAAAGTAAGGATTTTTGTGGGTGATATCTTTTATTGGATGTCTCATCCCAACCATGCAGGTGGTCCAATAAAAATCCTTGTTTCCCTATCAGGATTATATGATTTATATACAGTTAAATAAAGGATTGGGCACTAAATTATAGAAAACAAAGTCCAGCCTAGCCATCAGATTAAGCACAGCTGAAGACAGAGGAGACTAGCAAAGTACTACTGAGCCCAAATTATAATAGTGTGAACTGGAGGAAAGGAGAGAGTTTGATGGTGTGCTGCTGCATGTCCACCTAACACAAACACTGGCTTCCCTGGTTTAATTCTGCTTTACAATAAACAATCTTGAAGTTCCTGCGTGTGCTTTTTCTAAGCATTTGTAGCTAAAATGGAGCTTTCATTTTCTTTGAATAAATCAGTTTTAAAATAGCTCCCTTGTTTGAATCATTGATTTGTATGCAGGCACTGGTCATATGATCAATCCAACAAAAGAATAGTGAGGTGCAGGCCATATATCTTTTTATATTTATGAGTACAAATCCCTGAATCCTACAGGGTGAGATTGGGGAGGGAGGTCTGTGGTGTTTCAGTGGCAGCTTGCACTGCAATCCTCAGAAAGCCAATCAGTAAGACTTTATGATGTGATATTGGCTATTAGTCAACAGAATTGGTGTGAGGCCTGACTTTCATTGAAGAATATTACAATTTATCTTCATGGTGTTAACCCAGATTGCAAAAAACCTCTTCCCCCTTCCACTGGCTGCTTGATGACAAGCAAAATAACCAGCACTTTTTTTTCATTATCTTTGACCATCACACAAGGAACAAGCCTGCTCAGTCCATGTGTTGGCAGGAACATTTTTCTAGGAGTTTCATAAAGCTGAGTTAAACAGTGTCATGTACAGCAAGGTTAATTAACAACATTGAAATTGTTGTCTACTTCAACACAGTATCCTGCAAAGCTAAATAAGCAAATAATTTTAAAGCACTTAAGATTATCTATCAGAACAGCAGATGCTCCTCACATGCAAATGCCAAGTAGTATCCATAGTGGCTCAGAGAAGCATATAATAAATACCTCCAAAATCAATCCTGGTCTCTTAAGTGAGTATTTTGCTGGCACATCTTTCAGAAGTCCCTGGAGTTTGTTCAGTTGAGAGCTAGCTTTTGGTCCATGTGCAGTTAGCTCAGCTGCTGTGGAGCACCTATAAACTTTCAGCTTGGTGTCATCAAATGCCGGTGTCACTGAATCTTCATATGGTGAAGTGATTGAAAAAGAAAAAAGTGCATAAAGCAGCAGTTACAGGAAGCAGCTTGTTTAAGCAAGCAAGGACTGCTACTCTGCAGATGCAAGTATAAATAAACAACTTTCTAACATGGGTGCATCTGGACCGCAGCACAATTAGAGCAAAAATAATAGCTAATGCTCACACAGGGTGGAGCTAAATGCAAAACCATTCAAGTCAAAGATGAACCCATCACACAATCAGAAACCCTATGGGGGAGCTCAGATTTGAAATAACAAGTGTACTGCTAGTCCAGGGTATACTTTAATAGTAAAAAGTTGTAATTCAACAGACTCCAGCAGGTGTAATCGTTCCCCAACTTTTTATCCCTAAAAGTTCTAATTTTCTTTCATAAGGCTCTCCATTCCTTTTAACCATCTTAGTAGCTATTCTCTGAACCCATTCCAGTTTAAGTTAATTTTTTTTGAACGGGGTGGTAATCAGTAATGCACAGTATGCTAAACGGGGTTTTACCAATGGCTGGTATTAGCGTCTCTTTGTTTCTGCTGAATATTCTTCACATAATACACCTTAGGATTGCACTAGACTTTTTCACAGCTGTAGTAAGCTGGAAGTTCAAGTTCAGCCTATGATTAACCAATACACCTGGGTCCCTCTCTCTTTCTCAGTTGTCTTCAGTCTCAAACCCCCAATCTTATAGGCATTTTACAGTCCTAGTGCATGCCTTTGCACTCTATACTATTAAACTTAATTCTATTCCACAAACCTCCTATATATTCATCAAGTCGTCTTCTGTATTAGCATTAACATTCTTACCTTAGTGTTATCCACAACTTCCATGAGGCTATGTCTAGTTCCAGTACAGTGGATGCTGATAAAATGTTAAAAAGAATAGGTCCTAAAACCAATCTCTGAGAAACAACACTCATCCACTCTTCAGTCAGATAGCTCATCTTTCAACATAACCAACTGTAATCTCCTTTTGAGACAACGCTTTACCCGCTTCACAATTGTAGCATTAATCCCAATTCTCTCTAGGTTAGCCAGTATTTCCCATGAGGCATGGTATTAAAACTTTTGCTTAACTCTAGATAAATTAAATCCATAGCATCACACTTTTCCAAATCTGTTGTCGCATCACAGAGGGATATTAAATTAGTCTAATGTGATCTTCTCTGGATAAATCCAATTCTGGTTTCCATTTACTTCCATGGCGTTCAGTGTTCTTTCCTTCAGTATCTGTTTTAAGACTTTACCTACTATTGAAGTCAAGTTAATAAGTCCCTCTTTCTCTATGTTTTTTATAAATAGACAGAATTTCCTATTTTTCAGTCATGAGATACTACCCCTGACTTGACATGTTTTAGTTTAGTGAAGAACAGTGAATAAGAAGTGCTATTTTGTATGCAGATTTCTTCATTATTCTAGGAAGGCGATTATCTAGATTCCACAGTTCTGTGACAGTAACCAATCTAAGTTTTGCTTCCATGTCAGATGTGATGATGAACTTTTCAAAGAGTGTACATAAAACTGCAAGTCCTGATGCTTAGGATGGAGAATGACAACATGCACTGTGCAGATGCCACTGCTGTACAGCTGGTGGACGTGGAATGCTGTGCACGTACAAATCCTGCCTCTCAGCCTCTGTGACCTGAGGTGCAAAGAATCACTGCAGATACAAGTTCAATCCAACGGGTAGTGCTTGGTCAGGATCTCAGACTCCCACAGCTTTCCTACACAGGCGGCCTGGACTTATCTTTTTGTGACCAAAGAATTTTTCAGTATTTCCTCTATTTACCCAAAGCTTTCCAAAGTGTTAAACTGAACATATCATAATAGGAAGCTGTAGAAACATGTGCCTTTATATAGCTGTAGATGTGTAATTTCAGGATCATGCAATTATAAACAATCCTCAGGTTAAAAAAAAACAGAACAATCGAACGGTAGCTAGTTACCTGTCTGACTGCCTGCTGGGGCTGATACTGTGAAGTAATCAGGTGGTTTTTTGTATAGGTCAAAATCTAGGTGTCGTTTGTCCCAACTCCATGTGTCTCGATTCACCACTGGTTCCAAAAAGTTAGCAAACAGCTTGTTCTCCTGCCATTTGTAAATGAAAGTTGCATTTCTTTAAGAAGTTGTTTTGCTGCTAACAGAAAGTAGTCATAAAAATCATGTCAGGACCTGAAGAGAAGGAGATGGATTAAAGCTTCCTTGTCAAGGTACTAATCTAAGTACCATATTACTTTACTTGGACAGGACACTGTTTCTGACTCCCCTCTTTCTGGGTTGTCTTTCAAATTATTATTGTTGATTCACAGTAAGACTAGCCTCGATAGACTATAATATAATATGTACCTATACAGAGTGCTGGCATCTTCTAGATGAGATATAGAGGCCATGTTTTATAACTAACTAGCAAGGAATTGTTTAATTAACTTTGTAACATTAAGAAAAGGACTTTGCCATGTGTCTTGATACAGCTATTGAGCTGGCTTTAGGGCATGATCTATCAGTCTGAATGAAGGACTCTTTTGGTGACTTACAGCAAGTGAACTGATATCTCTGGCACAATTTCCTCATTTGCAGGACTCTCATTGAATAGACATAGTCCAGAACTTAGCAGGTTAATGTCTTACAGAGAAAAAAAATCGGAGCTTCTTAGTATAAGAGCTGGGCCAGAAAGTAAAGAGTTAAACAGTAGTTCAAAAACATACTGCTTCAGGGTTTAGCTTTTCTTAAGGGGTGATAGATTGCACTTGGTGACCTAAAGAAGAGGCAGGGCACTCTCTGCTTTAATTCTTCTGCTTCACAGTACTGCAAATTTCAGAATCTTTTCCTACTTGACTAGACTCTCAGAGAGGTAGTAACACCTAATTACATGTGTTCCTGTAGATTAAGAAAGCTTAAATGTCCTCTGGAAAGGAAATGGGAACTATGAAAATGAAGTGAACCCCCTCTTCCACTTTACCTCCTGACGACAGCCACAGAAATCCAGCCAGCCATGAAAAGAGAGGGAGGATTTGATTTATTAAAATGCATATCTTGGCTTAGTAGCTGGAAAGCACTTTTAGTAATTAAGGCAGCAGAATAAAAATAGAGCTCCTTAATGGTGTGCCAGGAGGACCAGTAAAACACTGTGGGACAGACGAACTTATTCCACAAAATGGCATTTCCACAAGTGAAAGGAAAAAAGGAGGCTTAAGCAGACAGGTTGAATTTATAGAGTGAAGGGGAGTGCTTTCAGAGTTCCCAGCTCTTTGGAGACATTCCTTTTATGTCTGACAAGTGGTGGATGTTCTAAAAGCTGAGGTGTACTTGAGACTGTCAGCATTTCAGTGACAAAGAGCTCATTTGTTATGGTCTGATACCTGCCACAGAAAGTCTCAAGTTTAGCAGCAAATATTCTTCATCTCCATAGAGGGAGGGAAATCATTTTGATGGCAGCTAACTTGATGCATGGAGCTGAAAGCAGGTGTCGGTGTTAGAAGAATTGGATTCCACACCCCCAGCCCTTTGATTTAAAAAAACCCCCAAAACATCCTGATTTCTGGGGAAACAAAATCCTGCAGGAAGTTAGTGTTTAATATTTTTAACATCACAATAAGTGTAGGCCAGTAACTTGTTTGATAATAGAGAGCAACTTTACATGGCTTTACGTACTTGACTGTCATTTATTTTTGTAAAGCGTTTTAAAGCAGGAAAATGTAAGGACTAAGCAAGAATATATCACGCAAAACCACCACATAATTAAGACCAATAAACCTATCTGTCAGTGTCTCATGGAGGCAAAATTACTGCACCAGCTGTTGATAACATTGCGAAGAGATGTCACTAAACAACATTTTAAAAAGTTCTGTAGGCCTAATGAAGAATCCTAGATATAGAGCTGAAAGATAGACAGCAACAGACTGCTCTGCTAATGGAATATGAAACTTGCTGGACAATTCTCAGCCCAGCACACTGGGGTAGAAGAGGCCTCATCTGATATAGAAAATTAACACTTATATGTGACACACACAATGCCTTCCTGCTGGTGTACAAAGGACAAATCTCAAGAGATGTGAGAACTGAGTGCCTCTGAAAACCTGGACACTGCAGTTAGCTACATAAAATGAGAACTAAGCTTTTTCATAAACTGCCTCCAATTGTAAATATGGAACACTTATCCAATCCTGACCTGAAGAGCCCACCTGTGCTAACTGATGTTGATCATGCGTGGGCATATTTATTATCATACCTCTGTAGAAATTCAGTTCAGCTTGTGGTGGATAAATCCACTACCTATAAGCGCCAAGACCTAATTTTAGGTGGACTTCTTAGAAAGAGCTACCTTTTTCTCAGATAAGGAAACAATTCCTTTCAATCCATCTTCTCCCTCAGTAAGCCTCATGTTATATCTTCATCAGTCCTCATGCAACCTGATAACATGCAACTGAGTACAAACTCAATAAAATCTTTAAGGAAACTATATGGACTCTAAGAACTTTAGCTCCCCAGAGGATGACATTTCAAGACGCCTGGTTCAATTCGGCTTTTGAGAAGATGAAAAAAAGGAACAAACAAAAGTTGCAAGTGTATGAAGTAGCACTGTATCAAAACCAGGTTGCTTCAATCAATTTTATGTTTTTGCTCCACTACGTAGAAGACATGAATTGCAAATTCAGCAAGCCACTATCAATTGTCATTGCTTAATTCAGAAATTTGGGCTATAGCTTACTGTTCAAGTATTGTGAATTTGCATCCTAATTTCTTTTCAGTTGGCTGGCACTGGCTTAGAGCTTGCTCTAGTGTCGCTTATGCTGGGACCTTTTTCACCATGTCAGTAAGTGCCAGCAGTCAGTACAATGTACCAGTTGACTCTTGTTCCCAGGCTGAGCATTGTGTTCTTCCTTTTTTTTTCAGTTGTTCCATGGTTCTTGTGCCAATCAACTGCTCCTTCTCCTGCTCATTTCTTTCAGTCTGTCAGTTTTTATCTGGGGATGGTCAAATGCTTTGCCATTTATTTCATCTTCTCATTGGGAGATGCTGACAATTATACTGTATGTCCTGGCTGCTGCTGGTCCTAATCAGTTTGTCTTTGCTGTGTTGGAAGGTACATTCTACTACAGTGCGTATCAGCAGAAAACATTGTGGTCATATAAGCTTTTTTATTTTAGTAGCACTGTGATATAGATGGAAACTTACAATGGGCATTACATTTGTTCTATGCTGTGTTCAAAAAAATTCTGAAAACCAACTGATCCTCTATGAAAAATCTCTTTCTATTCCCTTTCTCCTCACCTCACCACCTCAAATAATCCTTGTGTATTTTATTTGACAGAAGATTGTATATTTGTTTTAGTTTGTAGGTTGGATAAGTCTGTTTGTGCCAGGGATGACTAAATTGGTCCTGCTGACAGTCCAATAAAATGACAGCATAAAAAACAGCAAGAAAAACAGAGAGGAACCTGAAGAATAGAAACGAACAGGCAGAAAGGAGGAAGAAAGGAAAACAGAGTAGATGACTGCGAAGAGAAACAGGCTATGAGAGAAGTGTGGTGTTGAAGCAAAATGACAAAGTGGGCGCACCTACACATTGCCCTATGTTGCCGTATGTATAGGGCATGCTACAGCGATGTACCAATCGTGAGTCTACATCTGATCGGCAGCTACATCGCTGTACTGGCATGCTCCCCGGTTTTAGCATGCTGCTATGGCGGCATAGCAGTGAAATCTAACTACAAAAGGAAGTACTAAAGCACAGTGCTGTAGAAACATCACCATATGCTGATGTGTAGATGTGCCCAGCGCATAAGAAAAATACAGAAGTAGAAGGCACAGAAAAGGAGTATAATAGGAGTAATAATAGGAGTAATATAGGGTTCTGGCCCACAACTAAGGTTCCTAGATGCCGTGGTAATATGAAATAATTATCAGAAATAGGAAACAAGTTAGAAAAAAAAAAAGGAAAGCTGCAAGAAGCTGTACAGTAGGAAACACTCCTGTGACATTTTAGGCTTGGGGAACATTAATGTTATCACAGGATTGGAATAAGAGAAATGTTATGCCCAGCCCCCAAAATCATATGCTCCACCCATGCCAGAAGCACATGAAAGAACATATTTTCTGGGATCAGGGATAAAAGTCCTCTGATCTCAACTGCACAACTTCTAGTGTATGGAGTCCAACTTTGGGACCTGCTTCTGCTGGCAACTTGAAAACTAAGCTGTACAGCTGGGCACAGAGAAGACTTTATGGCAGGCTGCATGCCTACTTTTTAAAGATCTGGAGGTGCTGTGAGCCTGACACCAGGAAGCTTCTCTCTAATCTCGGGGTTATGCACCCCAGGACCTTAAACCTGGGATCCAGCTGCACACTCTGGCATTCCAGGGGTTTGACATGGGGAAGACCCTTCTTCATTTTGGGCTAATGGCACCCTAGGACTTTTAAAGAGGTTTGTGTAGCCCAGCTACACCACTGCCTTCTGAACATGTCAGTTCTTCCCAGGCTGGCATGTTCAAGGGGAAGCATGTAACTAGACTGCATGCACTGCTCCCAGATGCCTACATACCACAAAATGAAGCATGATACAACCCAGTCACAAAGATTTTCCACATTACATACAATAAATGTAATGTCCGCCAGGGGTCTTTATTGTCACATTTAAGAACACTACAAGCTAAAGATGTTTCTTCAAAACAGTTTCATGTCATGCAGTGGCTGAGAGAAGTTTTAATTTAAGTTGGATAAACTTTTAAAATGAGTGTGTGGAGTACTGATGTTTTATCTAACTATTGTCAAACACATTACTATCCTGATAGCCTTCTGAAGAAATACTTAAGCACATATTCACAACCATATATATTGGGGGTGTGCGAAATGGGTCTTATTCAATTCTGATTTGGATTCGGCCTGAATTGGGGGCAGTGATTTGATTCGGATCACTGTCCCCAATTCAATTCGTCTGAATCCGAATCTGATGATTCGATGCTGATTCAAAGAATCAGCAATTCAGCCATAGACACAGCTTTAAATGTTTTTTATACATACCTCGAGGTACCAGGTGCAGCTCATGAAAGCTGCGATGCTGGGGTGGATGGAGCATCCCATGGGAGTGC